GAGAGAGAGAGAGAGAGAGAGAGAGAGAAAAAAAAAAAAAAAATTCCCCTGTGTGTCTCCAACGGCAACAGGGGCACACTGAAAAGATCGATTGTACCGGTAGGGGCATATCGAAAATTCTCCCAATGACTATCTGATAGGGGCATGATGAAAATTTGATGTGGGTCCGGTAGGGGCACTACGAAAATAAATGAGACCCAAACGACACTAGGTTTTTATGGAAAATTTGACTTCTGGTCAGAGGGGCGCGACAAGGTAAATCGACTGTCGGAGGGGCGCGGCGCAAATTAATGGAAAATACAGGGGCTCCTGACAAATTCCCCCCCCCTAAAAAAAAAAAAACATATGTATAGGATGGCCTTTCATGCCTTTTTATTTTCATTATATATAGTATTACACCACCAGTACATCTAAGTATCGCCCACGGGCCCTGCTTGGAGGCCGCTCGCCGCCAATTGGATTTATCTACGGCACTGGGCCTCCGAAAATTTTATAGGCGACGAGTTTTCTTTTCAACAACGTTGAGGCCATGTATTGGCGGTTTACGGGGAACCCCGTAGCAGCCACATTCGTGCTCAAGCCTCCAACGAGGGAACATGTGGGAGTTGCACCCACCAACAGGTCGGCGATACCGACAAGGGGTTCTTTTCAACAAGGTTGGGGCCGTGTACTGACGGTTTTCAGGGAACCCCGTAGCAGCCACATCCGTGCTCAAGCCTCCAACGAGGGAATATGCAGGAGCTCCACCCACCTGCAGCAGGTGGGCGATATGGGTCAGGGGTCAGTCGGTAGCATCAAGACCGAGCTTCTTGGATGGGTCAGTCATTGTGCCTTCCCTCTGGTCCCTTCCCCTTATGAACATCAGCCGTCTCTGCTCAATGCCCCTCAGGGGGACCAACGACATATCTCTAGATGGTGGGCGCCAAGCTTGACCAAAAAGGTACATGAGGCCAATGGGTATTGAACCCAAGACCTCATGAATGCTACTTGCGTTCCTTACCAACTGAGGTAGGTCGCTGGATCAAGCAAGAACTGAGACAAAGAAAAAATAAAAATCCTCACACGATAACAAACAAATACAAGTCTGTAGAGGTCGTCCCTTATGCAATGTCTACCACCAGATACATAAAGGAAGACGTGCCACCCCTAAGGGCATACTCGCACCTCTTTTCAAAGTGCATCCGACCGCAATTACGGCCCTACCTGGAGGCATCTGGCCGCAATCACGTTCATAAATAACACAAAACGTCCTTATGTAAGTATGCCCTGACACCACCAACGTCCCTCACCTTCATGCACCCAACGTCTACACAGCCATATGTGACAGGCGTTGTCCGCACGACACCGGAATGGTTATTCCCGTCAAAAACAGGCAGATACGCGCCCATATCATTCGTCCCTTATGCAATTCCACAACCAGATACATCAATCAACGAAAATGTACGGGCACGACACCTAAAACCTCCTGTCACTTCAACTAAGTCGACTCAACCGTACCCTCACCTTCTCGTACCCAACGTCTACATAGCCGTATCTGACAGTTGTCGTCCCAACGACAACAAAATGGTTTTTCCTGTCAAAAACAGGCAGATACGCGACCGTATCAGTTAGATACATCAATGAAAACGTACGACCAACACCTAAAATCACCTGCCCATCCGAATTCCCATATTCCCCCGGCCCCAATATAAAAATAAAAAAAGGAGACCCCACACATCGCCCCCACAAGACAAGACGGCGTGCCTACAACGCCGCTAGATAAAAAATTGCAACATGATTCATATGAGTACCCTACATGAAGACCGACCCAACCCCAAATTTGTGACCACCCACCACCCATGTGCCTCAACATCACCCTAAAAACCACCAAAGAGCAAAAAAGGAACCCACAAAAATACAAATAAACGTCCCTGAAATGGAAACGTCCGGTCCCCCTCTAGCGACACTGAAAAACGACCTCAACACCCGACCGCCAGTCGCACGCGCTCCAAGCTATACAACGATCGCTCCCCCTACCGCTCTTGCTCTCAGCGTCGACCGCATCCTTCCCCAACCCCCAAAACACCCCATTTCGTGCCCGCTGTACTGCACAACATTTCTAAAAAAAACTCATTCCGCAAAATTACAAACGACAACCGACATAGACACAACCATCCTTGTTGTGAACTTTATATGCATTTTGATGCATTCTCAACCCAGCACATTCAAAATGTTGGGCTCGTCTGAATGCAGTTGGTCCTGGAGCGGTCAAATGCATGTAGAGTGATGTGTAGTGCAGCGATGCCCTATGTATATTAATCCAATTTGGGGCCTCGCCACACCACTCCCAAATCCCCCCAAAAAATTAGGAGTATTCCCGAATGTCAGAAGATGTGAAAAACCCTTTGAGAGCGTGCTTCGCCACATTTCGCTCTCGAATTGGGGCGCTCTCAAATTTCAAGGTTCGAGAACCATCTTATGAGAGTGAAGTGTGGCGAAGCACACACTCTTAAATTTGGGACAGGGACTAGAGGAGGGACAACGATACCGGTAAGAAGTGTGCAGTTGTGGGGGGAGGAGGAAAATCAAAAGCACAAAAGACCCCGCTTTATTGTGCAACTATGGTATCCATAAGAATAGCACAGCTGATGGAGGAGGGGAGTAATCAAAAGCACAAAAGGCCCCGCCTTGTCGCACAAATTTCCATAAACCGTGGGCCTGGAGTTACCGCCTGAATCTGGACTTGTTTGTGAATACGAAGTTTTTGCACCTCTCCACAAACATGTCCATGTTCAAGCAGTTTCACGACTTGGATTGCGCCCCAGTGGGGCAGGGATTGCGAGAGTCCTCCGACATGGCCACAGGGAGCGAGAGGGTAGTCGAGTGCTATGCTCGAATGTGCAGTGTGTATTCGACTGAAAACGAATTGCACGGCCTAAAAGCACCGCCGAAAAAACAAGGAAAACGGTAGCACGACTAGAGATTCAGTCTCTTTTTCCCCTAACATGTCTAAATACACACACATAGCTATGGTTTCGAAATCCCTGTGAGGATATGGAAACGGCCTATCTCAGTTGGTTAGGCACACAAGTGGTAGACTGATACCTCCCCCCACCTTGACATCACATGCACATCGACCATACCACAGCTAGCACGCAGGTTCATGACCCTCCATCAACATCCGCACAATATGCAATGGTTGCGTCAATGCTATTGCGCGCAATCGACTATGAAACGATTTCGATTTTCAAAATCCCTGCCAAGACAATGAAAAGAAAAAAAACAAACACTCCTAAAGACAATGGAAAAAAAAAAAGATGTCTTTGGGCCTTGCGACCTGAAAATGAATATGCCGCTAGAACATGGAAAATACATGCTAAAAAAATTGGGAAAAAAAGGTTTTCTGCCCTCAGCTAGAAGACTCTCCTTCTCTTTTAAATACCTCCCACGGCCCGCCATAAACCCTCCCCTTCCTGAAACGAAAAACATCGGTCGCCGTCCCAAATCAATGCCAAACGACCTCTACCACCTACCGTTGGACTCCTGGCCTTCTACATTTGCCACGACCCATCTACCTATTGGTCTTAAGCGCACGTGCAACATCACCCTTCCCTGGTACCCGCCGAAGCCTTTTAAACCTCGGTTAATCCATGACGACATCCCCGACGGGAAAGCTGCACTAAACGATAGGACACAACCAGGATAGTAAGCTCAACTTCCTGACTGTGAACTACCCTCTTGCCGCTCACCACGCGCTCTCCCTTCTTCTTTTTCCTCCCCTGTTTCATCACGATAGCCATGGCCAATGGGATGATGATCTTGATGAGACGCCGTTGTCCTGGCCTGTAAACACACCGTACTCTCTCTCTCTCTCTCTCTCTCTCTCTCTCTCTCTCTCTCTCTCTCTCTCTCTCTCTATATATATATATATATATATATATATATATATATANTCTCTCTCTCTCTCTCTCTCTCTCTCTCTCTCTATATATATATATATATATATATATATATATATATATATATATATATATATATCCCTCCCTCCCTCCGACCAGCACCAAAGTTGGGCGACC